TGTTAATGCTTCCGGCTTCCCCACGCCCGCGCACTCGGGTTCCGGGCGAGCGCCGGTCCCCCAGTGAGCTTCCCGACGCTCGGCGGGAGGCGGCCGGTGAGTGGGGCGAGCGGGATTCTGCGGCGGGACCGGGCAGGTGGGTCTGGGGTTCTGGGAAGTGATCTTGCGGGAACACGGGGCTCCCTGAGGAGAGAGGGTGGTGGCTCAGGGGATCTGGCTGCGGATCGGCCCGGGTAGCCTATGCTGCTGGGCCGGGGGTCTCCGCGCGCGGCGCTGGCCTCGTAGGGGGGCTCGGCCGCGTCCCTGCGCCTGCGACGCGGGTTCTGGTCCTGGGCGCCCCTGGGAGATGAGTTCTGTTCCCCTCCAGCAGAGCCAGGAGGGCTTCTGCATCGGGCAGTTTGCCAGGCACTGTCCGCAGAGTTCTTATCTGCGCTACCTCGTCAAACCCCCGCACTAACCCACTGAGATGTACCATCATCATGCCTGTGATGCAGAAGAGGAAACGGAGGCACAGAGATAAAGCACCTTACTTGAAGCTATGGAGCCTTTATTTTATGGTTCTGGTGATGAAGGTTGGTTGGTACTTGACTATAGTAGGTGTTATTTGTTGATGGAGGTGTTGACAAATTCTGCACATCAAATTCTGTGAATTTGTTGTGCTTTTGAGCCCATTTCCATGAACACTTGTCTGAAGCCCATCTCTGCTAGGCCTGGGGACATGGTCATCTCTCTCTGAGGGCCGAGTCCTCTGTGCAAAGGCCCCAGGAATCAGGCAGCCCAGAGAACAGCTGCTTCCTAACCTTCAGAACCTGCTTCCTTCTGAATGAAATGATTCCTCCATGTTGAAGGGAACAGAGAAAAGGTAGAGTTCTTCCCAGATCAAGAATTCCTTATAGGAGGAAGGGGTGAGGGCAAAGGAGTTTCAGGTGGTGACGACGAAAGGTGGCCAGCAGTGTTCGAGCTGGAAAGTTAGTCACTTAAGAGCAGGTGGAGTTTGCTGGTGCCCCAGCACTTGGTGACCACTGGACTTCAGAGCTTCGGTAGGAACCCGGAGTCTGTAGAGCGGTAAGGTGATGCAGATAAGGGAGTACGATAAAGAAAGGGGGTGGAAAAAAAGGAGAGGCAATGTTTGGCACCGTGGCGGAGGAACCCTGGGTGAAACCTGGAGAAGGGTATGGCCCTAAGCTTGTGGAGATTGTGACCATCTGGTCTCGCTGAAATATATCTGGACGCTCCCCTGAGACTTTAGTCACATCTGCCAGTCCTCCCGTCTCCATTTCACGTGCATCCTCCACAGCCAGGAGAAGAATGCATCTGTCCAACCGTGGAGCAGCACCTGCTGAAGGGAGCCTCTCAGATCCTCTGCGAGTGTCTTTCCTTAAATGTATCCCATTACAATTTTAAATTAATTCATTTGCCATAAGCACAGCAATAATATAATCTTCTTTATCGTGTGTGACATTCCTTCTTGTCTGCCATTTCTTAACTTGTAGCATTCACAGAAGCTTTGTCAGGAAAGACAAGCAAGCACCAGTAGTGCCATTTTGCAGTGCGACCAGGTTTTCAAAAAGGTGAGTGACTTGCTGGGGCATCCACCACCCTGCAGTGGTGGAAGAGTTAGCTTCCTTCTGTTTTGACCCTCAGGAAGAAGTAAGCCATAGCCCCTGTGAACACATACCCAATGTGAGGAAACTGACAAAGAGGCTGGACATATGACTCTGATCACCTAGAGAGTTTGGACTTGGCACAGCTCCATGCCCTTTATCTTTTATCATGAAAGAACTAGGGACTTACCCAGACATAAATAAATGTCTATTGTCCTTTTCTTTGTATCTGAGAAAAGATGGGGTAAGACCTGTTCCCAGCTTTGCCTTTGGCCAGAAAGAAAGCCAAGAGGAGGGGAAAGACAGAAAGGCAACTGTCTGTCTCACTCTTAGATCTGTAAGTCACGTATGTTAAGGAGCTTTCATCTTTTATGTAATTTTTTATCATCTTGCTGAGCAGAGACACATTTATTCCTCTTTGTAGAGCTTCCCTTTTTAGGTGAGTCTGCCAGATTTTGCCCAGTATGGCTGCTGACTGCCCTTAATGTCCTCCATACTCCTTCGCTCTACTCATTCCTAGGCCGTTGAGCCGTTGAAGAACACAGGCTTATCAAGGCCTGTTTCTTGAGTGGTTTTATCTGAAACAGACCTGGGGCTCTCATGTGTCTCTGGATACTTGGAAGAATCTGTTCATTCTAGTTTCATCTCAAGTCTAGGCAGACAGTATGTGCCTTAGAGTTGGAACCTAAAATTAAACTGTAGGAACCATCGCTTTGGACCACCTCATCAAGTCCCACATCTTCTTTTTACAGATGAGGGGACATAAAACCAGATTGGTTATTTCCCCTTGGTTTTTATAGAGCTACCAGCAGAGCTATGTCCAAAATCCAGATTACTTAGTAAATATTTGCACCACGGGGCCTCTGTCTGGTGTTCACTGATTCATGCCAAGGTTGCCAGTCACACTATGGTGGCACTTTAGTGGGGTGTGGTCAATTTAATCCTTAGGTTACAAGGATAGGGCTTCAACATATTTGGGACTCACTGCAACCTCTTGGAGGTAGTCACTCTCTAAGCCTCCACGGCCCTGTGGAGTCGAGGTTGGGCTGGTGTCCTGGGGTCAGAGGACTTTAGTTTCTTGCCCATTGAGGGGCCACAAGAATGGAAAGTGTGACCCAAATGTTCTTTCCCTGCCTGTCAAGAAGCAGTAAGTACTGTGAGGTGAGTTGGAGTTGAGGACTTACCACTTAGCCTTGGATATACCTGTCTGTACCCCAGTTCTTCCTTTGTATTGTGAGAAGGAATAACAACAATACCTTCTCATCCTTGCATGTCATAAGTGAGACAGTATTTATAAAATGCTTAGAAAAGGCAGGTGGAAAAGAAGAGACCCAGAGAAATCCCTTTTTCAGAGGCCGCACTTCCAAGTTAGATGCCTTCCCCAATGGGGTTTCTGTGTGTCCATCACATGTGTCACATGCACAGACACATATTGCACGACACAGTTATCCATGTCATGAGCTTTTTTGAAATGCAAAACCAACTACATTTGGGGACTCTTACACTGCACTGTATGTATATTAATTGAATTATAGATAATCTTATATCAAATTGGCACATTTTCGTGATCGTCAAGATATTAATAAGCATGAAAGTGAACCCTAAACCTAACACTGGCTATCTCCTATGAACTCTGTCCTAGTTCTTTATCTCTTCAGGATATTCTTCCTTCTTTTAGGTACTTTTCGGTTAAATGGTTCCAGTGTGTGAATTTACAAAGATCTTCTAATTTCAGATCTTCCTGGCTTTCCCTTGCCTCCAAACATTTCCTCAACATTATCTCTTCTCCAGGATGGAATGTAATATGTAAAAAAGGTAATAATACTCCACAATGTACAAAATCCCCATTGTTCTCCCATCACTTTTATGACAGTGTGGATGTTCTCAGATCTTCACAGATTCCATTTGGGGATGAGGACTTTTGCTTTGGAGGCTTTAGAAGCTTTGCAGATTACGTACGGAGAGATGCACCTTTCACCTCTTGGTGACTGTCAGTACTTTAGTTCCATTACACTAAAGAAGTATTTCTCTACCCTTCAGACCTACCATCCCCCTCACAATTCTGAAATAAAATTTGTAGATAATAGTAACTACATAGAGACATAGGAGAAAGAAAAGGAATTTACAATAGGATATGTATTTCAACATATACATGATTGGATGAAATTGACACTGGCACCTATTTGTAGCATCACTGTGAACACAACAGCTACAAATGCAGACTGATATCTGAATGTTGTATTTGTAAATCTAATACCATAAATGGCTTGATTTTGCTGAAATGGTGAGCACATCCTAATAACACTTAAAGAAAAAAGAAGTGTGTTTCCTTGATTTTCTAATATATTGCAAAGCTGTGCAAAATACTTTGTATTTATATGTCACGTAGTGTTAGGTTCTAGCCTTGGTAGCAGCTTTTTTGAAAAGTCTGGCAAGATAAGGAACATTCCTTATTTTGCAGGAATGTCCATCATCCCTGGCCACCCCGCCAATCAACATGACAACCAGGAAACTCATAAATTCCCAGAACTCTCCCTAGGAGACAGCATTGCTATCTTGGGGAGTGCTATAATAAAAGAAGTACCCTGAGGATGGATTAGCATGGGATCTGGGCTGCAAGAATGTAGGCTGACCAACTCAGCAGGAAGGCCAGTTCCCATAGAGCATGCAGCTGGATTTTCTGCAAGGTTCTAAATACATCCAAAATTCTGACTCAATCACCCCAGTGGTAGGGCTCTTGTTTTCCCTATTTCTAGCTGAGAGTCATGCTCTTGGCAAAGATGGACACAGATAGCATTGTGACGTAGCTCTTGAGGTTCTCCAGGCATGGCTTCTTGGCAAATGTACCACAAGGTTTAGCTCCACATCTGGGAGGTTCCCCATCTATGAGAAAGGAAAGCTTGTGGAACCAGATCAACTCCTCACCCAGTAGATCTCAAATCCTTCTCTGAGCTTGTTGCTCTCATGCCTGTGGGCTCACTGTACTTTCTGATCCCCAACTTAGCTCATCAGCTGCAGTACCTGCTCATTTCCATTTGGTGGGGGGTGGGGGGGTGCTTTGCGTATTACCCCATGACCTCCCAGTATTTCTTGATGTCTCTGTCTCCATGTCCATTGTAAAAAACAACCAAAACAAAACTTCCTGGTATCTCCTCTAGCCTTGCTCACTTCTCTTCCACTGCCTCACTTTATTTTCTTTCCATATAAAATTGCTAATGTGCATGAAGTACAAATTAGTTGTCTTTTTGCTGCCGGTTTATTTTCTTTGCTCTCCACACTAGACACAAGTGACATCTGCACTTTAAATATCTTTCAGATATAGGGAGATTTGAACTGAAGCAAAGCATCAACACCGGTCAGGCTGTTTCTGAAGAACTACAGTTCTCAGGGTCAGCAATGGAAAGCCTCAGAGGGAATAATACCCAAGGTCCTAAGAACACAGAAGCCTGTGGAAGCGAGGGACTCCTGTCAAGGCAGACATGGCCTGCACTGAAGAAATCTGAGAAAACAGCCATCAGAAGGCTGGGAGTGACTCTCAAGGAGGTTGTCACTGAGGAGAGAGTCCCAAAATCCAGTCAACTTAGTCTAGGATCAAAACTTGATACACAGCAGGAAATTCCAAAGGGTGCTAGATTCGTCACATCCAGGAAAAACTCCAAAGATAATTCAGACTTAATTAAACACCAAAAAGTCTTCCCACAAAAGAAAACTTGTAAATGCAATGAATGCGGGAAAGCCTTTAGTTACCAATCAGAACTTTTTGTCCACAGTAGAATTCATGGTGGAGAAAAACCTTTTGAATGCAGTGAGTGTGGGAAAACTTTTAGCCGAAGTACACATCTGATTGAACATCAAAGAACTCACAGTGGAGAGAAACCTTATGAATGCAGTGAGTGTGGGAAAGCTTTCAGCCGGAGTACCCACCTAGGTCTACATCAGAGGATCCACACTGGAGAAAAACCGTATGAATGTAGTGAATGTGGAAAAGCCTTCAGCCGAAGCACTAACCTTAGTCAACATCAGCGAACTCACACTCAAGAAAAACCTTACAAATGTAATGAATGTGGGAAAGCCTTCAGTGACCGTTCAACTGTAATTCAGCATCAACGAATACACACGGGGGAGAACCCCTATGAGTGCAGTGAATGTGGAAGAACTTTCAGCTGGGTCTCATCACTCATTGAACATCAGAGAACACACACTGGAGAGAACCCCTATGAGTGCAGGGACTGTGGGAAGGTGTTCAGTAGAGGCTCATCCCTTACTGAACATCAGAGAGTCCACACTGGAGAAAAGCCGCATTCATGCAGAGAGTGTGGGAAGGGCTTTGGTCGGAGCTCCTCCCTTGCTATTCACCAGAGAACTCACACGGGAGAGAAGCCTTACAAGTGTAATGACTGTGGGAAAGCCTTCAGTCAGAGCTCAACACTCATCAGACATCAGCAGCTTCATGCTAAAGAGTGACACCTGGGCTTTCATGAATGTTAGCACAAGAGCACGTCGCATGACCTCCTGTAGCCGAAAAAAATGTGTTTGAATTTTCCTTCCGTACTAGCTAGTGATAAGCCAGTTTCAAGCTAGCCTTCCTTTCTGTAAACTAAATTCTGAAATGAGTGATCCATACAACAAGGGGATGACTTCAAACACCTAACATCCACCTAACAGTATTCTGGAGGGGTCTGACCTTAGAGTGTGCAGCTACCTGACACCTTGCATTTCTGCACCTTCTCTCTTCATTCCATGGGGCTTTGGTCCCTGGGCAGCCAGGGAACCCTGTTTGCATCCACATCAGCCCCTTTACTTAATGAGGAAATTCTCTGTGTGTGTATGTTCATGGTTCCTGGTGCCAGTCGCAGAAGAGGAAGAGCTGGCTTCAGACTGAGACAAAAAAACTTCCCACCAGTTTGGGGGTAATAGTGTTGAGGCAAATGCAGTCTCTGGACTTACAAGGACAGATTTTTCTCTTCCTCACCTTTTTTGCTGTAGCGCATTTTTCTAAGTATAACCAATAGTTCTACTACCATGCCTGATTAATATTAATCCCAGTGTTATTTTATCTCATCCTTACTAAGACTGTCCTAAAACTTTTAGACATTTAGTTCCTCAATTATCATGGAAAAAAACCCTGCTGCCCTGTTTTTTAACCTTTTGTTTACAGACTTCATGAAACTGACTCCCTCTGGCTGCGGCTCTCACCAACCTTGTACAACTGGCTTTTCAAGGACAAACTCAGTGCCTATTTATGCGTTCTTTTCCTACTTCACATTTGTAGAATTGGCACTTTTGGCCACTCTTATGCCTTAAAACCTGAGCCTCTGGGACCCATGTTTCTGTACCAGTCCACACTTTTTCTACCTCCTAGCATTTGTCTGATTAACAATGATTAGCTCGATGACTTTGGGCAAGAATTGTACCAGAATATCATCATTTTAGCAGGTTGTAATATGAGGTTATTCAATTGAATTGTAAACTTCTCAAAAACAGAAGTCTTATTTGAGATCCCTATAAAACAGCGATTTCAACTGGTGTGCTGCAAGAATTTTTAAAACATTCAATACCTGACTAGTCCGGGGTACTATCCTCTTTTCCCTTAGATTGTCAAATAAAAAAATTACAATGACCAACATAGCAATAGACATCTGGTGCGAATGAATAAAAATTATTATTTTTTTGTTAGATTGGCAAAAATATCTTTGATGTCAGAATTTTAGTGATTTATGTGTGCTGTAAGATAAAAAAGGTTGAAAATCGCTGCTATAAAACATGACAAACTGCTGCAAAATAGTAAATTCCCTGTAATTATTGCTTACTGATTGCTCTTTATCCCAGTCTGCTTAGAGTTTATTTGAAAGAACTCAGTAGTTGACTTCTCTTTGTTCCTACTGCCGCTGCCAAGTGTTCTGAGTTTTTCGCGTAGACTAGACGCATTGTTGATGCCCTTGTCTCCCTGACTAGCCGCCTGACTAAACTGCCGCTTGGCTCACAAAGAGTCCACAGTTGGAGTTGAAACTTCAAGGCCTTCCAGTCTGGATCTGTTCTTCCTTTCCATTACTCCCCCACACACCCGTGGGCAGGCCAACCCTTTGTCTCAACTATACTCTCTTCTTAAACTATTCGATGGCACCCTTTTTCACGTCCAGCTTTCTTTGTCGTATCTGAGAAGTCCCGTTCACGCTTATAAAGAGCCCCTCTGTGACACCTCAGTGCGCCACCGTCTCAGAATTCTTGGCAGGGGCGGTTTGCATTATTTCGATTTGCACACTTACTCTGATGTCTGATCCTTTCTGGTACTTTTTTCTTTTCTTTTTTTTTTTTTTTTTTTTTGAAGCTAGGATTGTCTTACATTTCCTAGGGGTCCCATCTAATATAGTACTATAGAGGCCGGGACTCTATAGTTCTAATCTAAACCAGCAGGGTTTAAATGAAATCTCTTCAGCGCTTTGAATGGTGAGAAACCCTCATCCTTGCGTTGGTCTTTTCCGTCCTCCTTCAGTTGCGTTCTTCCCTCTGGGGACGGACTCCTCCCAGCTCTGAGCGGCGGGCCGGCACGTGTTCCTGAAACGTGAGTGGACTCACGTGGCGCGAGGAGGGCAGCGCCTGCTGCGCCTGCGTGCTCGGCCCCGGCTGGTCGTGGGCGTGGCCGCTTCCCGTCTGCCGCGGCTTCTCTCGTCACCCCCGGCGGACCTGGGACTCCGCAACCGGAAACAGGGACACAACCTGGAAGTTCTTACAACCGCCGTCTCTGTCGTGTGTCACAAGTGACTCAGGGTAGATTACACGAGATCAGAGAGACAAGCGGAAAGGTGCTTGTAGCACCAGAGGAAGTGGCCGGAAGGTCGAGGCCACGACAAGCCCATGGTTCGCCCTTCGATTCCTCAGCCCGAGAGGCAAACTGAGCGCCCGGCGAGCTGTCCATTGTTTGAGGAAAGGAAGACTTCTGCCACAGTGAGCAAGATTTCCGGGGGGAGGTGTAGTCAGTCAGCAGGGAACAGTGTCGGGGTGCGGGCGGGGGGCTTAGCCTCAGGGAGAAAATCGGGGCCACTCGGCTCTCGCGGACGGCGCGGCCCTGTGCGGCGGAGGGACAGCGGCGCGCGACGCGGGACCCCGTGCTGAACGTGCGCCCGGCCCTTCGCGGCCCCGTAGCCGCGGCCACGTCATGCGCGCCGTTTTCCTCACGTGGCCGCGGTGGCCGCACGAAGTCGCCGGGTGGAGCCACCAGCCCTCCTCCAAACCCATTCTTTCCGCCGCCCTCAGTCCGTGCTGAAGCCACGTGGGGGCCGGGGCCGCGGGGACCGGATCCGCGCCTAGGGCCGCCCGCCGGGGAGCGTCGCAGGCCGAGCCGCCGCCTGGGCGGTGAGCGAGCCCTGCCCACCGCGGGAGCCGCCACCATTCCTTTTCTTTTTCAGATAACAGCTCGTTGGCTTTTCAACGTGTGACTCTCGGTGGACCTGAGAAAGGGTGTGAACGCGGTTAACGCGTGAGCGAGCGAACCCAGCCCGACGCCAGTGCAGAGACCGCGGCGCGGGTAGCGCAGTAAGTGTGCGCTTCTCTTTTTCAAAAGGACCGTTGTCTCCCATTCGCCCATTTCTTCTGTAATGAAAACAACTTGTTAGTGGTACAAGGTACTTGGCTGTGCGCTCTTGATTTTTAACATTGGTTTAATGCTTCTTGATACAGTAATTTGGAGATCAGACTAAATTCGGTTTAATACCTGGTTTTAATTAGAAAGTGCCTTGTTGGCTATGCTTGGCAATCATTATGCTCATTTTAAAATCCCATTTTCATGCAATGGTTTGTGTTGAAATTCTGCTGGTGATTTTCTTTCCTTCCAGGTATGAAATTAGCTGTTCTTACAAACCAGTTAGAGCATGTTGTATTTTAAAATTTTGAACCGTTAAAAACAGAAAAGGGTTATATAGATGGGTATGAACCGTAGATGTCTGAGTGTAAACATGGAAATTTAAGTTGCTGAGGTTTTGCCCTAATTCCTAGTTGATGACTTTTTCTGAAGAGTTCTGGGAGGTGGAGGGGCAGCCGGTATAGATGTTTTTATACTCCATCAAAGCCATATCTGTCTGTCTTTGTGAAAGATTTTATTTATTTTTAGAGGGAAAGGACGGGGAAAGGGAGGAACAGAAACATTGGTGCCTCTCCTACATACTTGACCGGGGACCAAACCTAAAACACAGGTAGCCCCAAGTGGGAATCACACCAGTGACCTTTTGCTTTGCAGTAGACAGGAGACACTCCAACCAACTGAGCCACACAGGTCAGGACAAGGCTGTCTCTCTTTTGCCTTTACTCTCCCAACACAAACTGTTTTTCAGAATTTGCCTGTGAAAGGAATTGGAGTTGGAAAGACAGGGCCAGCAGAGGTTGATAAGATTTAAGAAAAGGGGCTGCAGGGCCACCAAGGCACCAAGGCCATACCTTTTGAAGACTTACAAAAACTTTAGTAAGTTGGCTCAACATTTGCGTTTTTTGGTAATTTAAACTGTAATGAAGCTGATTTTACAAGGTATGATTTAGTTCTGTTGGACCCTGAAACTGCAGGGCAGGGACACCATCCCTGTGCCCATCCCATCAACCTTGCGCTCCCTGGACTGAAAGGGGTTGACCAAATCTCTGTCCTGCCGATGAGAACTGAGACTCAAACAATGATAAATGTTTAATCATGTTACTTGTTGTTGTCTCATAATCCCATTTGGTGATGACTGAGTCAGATAAACATTGAAGGTCCAGTTGCCTCCCGCAGTCAGAAAATTAATGACTTAGTTTTTTTTTCTCAAACTTTTTAATACATTTTTTATAATTGTTTTGAAGTTTTTTTAATCTGACAGATCATAAAATCAGTCAAATCTACTTTAAACTCACTCAAAGAAATGATTTATAAAACAATGTTCTCATTAAAATGACAAATTTAAAACATATGCAAAATTAGGGAATAGTATAATGAGCTCCCATATACCAATTGCCAGGATTTACGAATTATTAAAATTTTGCAACATTAGCTTTATTAGTCCTTTTTTTTCATTTTATTCATTTGCTGAGATATTTTAAACAAAACTGAGACATCACATAATTTCATCCCTAGATATTTCATTATGCATTTCTAAAAATCATGGATTCTTTCTTACACAGACTACTATCATATCTAAGAAAATTAGTTCCTTGGATACCCTTCATTTTACAGATGACTCACAAGTAGGAGTTAAAAAAATATTTTGATGCCTGTGTTCCACCCCTTACGTCAATTAAATTACAGCTTCTGGGGATGGAATAAAATGTTACAGTTCCCAAAGTAATTCCACTATGCATCTAGGGTCAGATAACACTGGTTTAAGGTGTAGAAGAGAATCTCTGCAGTTGCAATAAACTAGAATGTTAAAACATACTAGAAGAGAAAACAGTAGGAAAGTTCAATACTTGTGCTCAGTTATATGCTACTGAATTATTAACACAAGGGTATTTTATAGTTCTTTTTTTTTAGGAACCAGTTACTTAAACAATTTAAATGCATTAGAATAGGAGATTAATAGATCTCCAGCCTAGATACTGAAGCGTAAATGCTTCCTATTAGCAAAACATGCATAAATATATTTTAGATGCAGCACAGCAAAATCTGATAGGTAGTAATCCTATTCAAGAATATATTACGAATAGACCTCCAAAGACCTTTAAAAACATCTACTCCAAATCCCTCATTTCACAGAGAGGGGGAAGCTTGGGGCAGCTGAATTTTCCAATGTTAGAAAGTTGCTTAGCATAGTTGATTACTTCAGCCCAATGCACTTTCCATTCCATAGTGTGACAGTGGACAGTGAAAAGTTAAAATGACTTAAGCAGTTTCTCAGACCATTCTGGTTCTTCAGTACTGAACAGAAGGACCAGAGTAGAGTAAATGCATCCCCTATATTTATGATGCTCCTTAAACAGTCATATGCCAGGGTGCAGCCTCTGGTGCTTACTGAGAGCAGAACGATACCTAAAGGCTTTTCCACAATCATTACATCCAAAAGGCTTCTCTCCTGAATGAACTCTCTGATGCTGAACGAGGTAAGTGTTCTGGCTGAAAGTCTTCCTGCATTCATCACAGTTGTATGGCTTCTCCCCAGTGTGAGTATTCTGATGCTCAGTCAGATGAGTGCTCCGGCTGAAGGCTTTGTCACATTCATTACACTTATATGGTTTCTCTCCAGTGTGAATTCTTTGATGCTGAGTGAGATGGGAACTCTGGCTAAAAGCCTTTTCACATTTATTACACTGGTATGGCTTTTCTTCTGTGTGAGTTTTTTGATGTTGAGCAAGAGAAGAACAGTGTCGAAAGGCTTTGCCACACTCACCACACTCATAAGGCTTTGCTCCTGTGTGAATTCTCTTGTGTTGTGTAAGGTGTATGTTCTGGTTGAAGGCTCTCCCACATTCGTTACACTTGTAAGGTCTTTCTCCAGTATGTATTTTCCTATGCTGAATAAGGGATGAGCCATAACTGAAGGTTTTCCCACATTCATGACACTGGTAGGGTTTCTCGCCAGTATGAATTCTTTCATGTTTAGCAAGAGATGAACTCCGAATAAAGGCTTTCCCACATTCCTTACATTCGTAAGCTTTCTCTTGGGTATGCGTCTTCTGATGCTGATTAAGGTTTGAGAGGTAACTGAAAGCCTTCCCACATTCACTGCATTCAAAGGGCTTTTCACGAGTGTGAATTCTGCGATGCTGAGTAAGGGATGAGCAGTAGCTGAAGGCCTTTCCACATTCATTGCATTTGTAAGGTTTTTCTCCAGTATGAATTTTCAGATGTTGAGCCAGGGATGACCAGTAACTAAAGGATTTTCCACATTCAGCACAATCGTAAGGTTTCTCGCCAGTATGAGTTTTCTGATGTTGAGTGAGGTTCGAGTGCTGACTGAAGGCTTTCCCACATTCATTGCACTCATACGGTTTCTCACCAGTGTGAATCATATGATGACGGATAAATGTAGAGGGCCCATTGAAGGCCTTCCCACATTCGTTACATTTATAGGTTTTCTCGCCAGTATGAATTTTTTGATGTTGAGTAAGGTGAGTGCTCCTGGTGAAGGTTTTATCGCATTCATCACATTTAAAAGGTTTTTCTCCTGTATGAATTTTCTGATGTTCCATAAAGTGGCCTCTCTGGCTGAAGGCTTTTCCACATTCATTACAGGTATATGGTTTCTCACCAGTATGAATTCTGTGATGCTGAACAAGATGGGTCCTCTGACTAAAGGCTTTCCCACATTCATCACATTTATAGGGTTTTTCTCCAGTGTGAATTCTTTGATGTTGAGCAAGAGATGGACCCTCAATGAAGCCTTTTCCACACTGATCACATTTATATGGTTTATCTCCAGTATGAATTCTTTGATGGTTTATAAGGTTTTCACTCCTGCTGAAGGCTTTCTCACATTCATTGCATTTGTAGGGTTTTTCTCCAGTATGTGTTCTCTGATGGCGAATAAGTGCTGAACAATAACTAAAAGCTTTCCCACATTCATTGCACTTACAAGATTTCTCTTTTTTAACTGGTTTTAAATTCTGTTTGATGCTTGTTTTAGTAGCCCTTTCTTCAGGAGATGTGTCTTGTGTTACTAGGTTTGAACCAATATTGATACTTTTTTCAAAGTCATGACTTACATGGTCTTTCTCCAAAGTGGGTATTGTTTTCTCAGTTGTTTTTACTTCCCTTGGCAACGTCAGTTTGTCTGCCTGCTGCCTCTGTGGGCTGCTGGTAGACACCCAGGACTCTGAGACGTCATCACTTTTGTGTTTTTCCACTTCTGCCTCTGGAGGTGGCTCTTCAGAAATGTCTGGCTCTGGGACTGATATGCTACTTTCCAGTCTTGTTTCCCAGTCTGAAAGAAAAAAATAATACCAGTATTCTCTGAATAGAGGGGGAAAACAATAACAAAAACCCAGAAGAGAAAACTGCTGCTCTGGGAATGACCTAATTAAATTAAATATAAAGCCCTCCGGAAACGCTGAGGATTTCAAAAATAGCCCTATGATTTTGGGAGAAATTTGGAAGGAGCTAAGGAGAATGGTAAGTAAATAAAAGTTAAAAATGGTAAGAGAGTATTTCATTCAATTTCATAGATTATCTCTAAGAACCAGTAAGGGAACTCCATCTAAGGAAATAATGAGTTTAACAAGTGACACTGAGATGGCTAAGCGAAGACACATGTGGCCTGAGAGGAGGCAGTCTGAACTGAGATTCCTCAGCAAACAGCAACAACACAGAAATCCAGGAACTCTGACCCCAAGACAGAACAAACAAGGAAGACGCAGATATAGCTGCAGGGTTTTTAGCCTGGAACACGTATCCTTATTAAAAATGGGGAAGTTGTAAATAGTAGAGGAAATCACTGAATGGGAAAATTAGGAACAGAAATGGAAACCCTAGTGGTGTTTGTGGCGATGGAAGATGCCAAAGGTAACAGAATAGCCGGGATATTCAAATACAGGTTAGGAAATATCAGCTCAAAAAAGAAAGGAAAAGAATAGCTGAAGCCATAGGAACATAGGTGAGAAAGGAAAAGAGATGAGTGTGAAGTGTAATGGGATGAATAAAATATACTAATGAAAGAAGGCAGTTTATCAGCAAACAGAACAACAGAAGAAACAAGACAGAAGTACATAATTGGGAAGCTGACTTACACCAATCTATTTTCCACTCTGAGGGAGTCTGTCTTGTCCCAAGAAAAAAAGGTTACAAATAAATGAAGCAGGGCAGCCAATGCTGGAAGATTCAGTAAAGAAAAAAGGCTGTGTTTAAAAACTGGTAACAGGAGGGTACAGCAGACCCCCGAGAATCCTGAGCCCCTGAGCTGCCAGCCCAGTCACTGTAACTGTCATGACTGCAACAGCATGCAAGGCGGAGACCCAGGGCTGCTGTCTCCCGAACGGTGAGCCTGCACGAGAGCAGCCTCAGATCACAGCACTGCTCCAGAAGGGACAGAAAGCCACAGAGGCTTGGGGGAACTGCCAATAGTTCAATATAAGAAATGACACTAAGAAAGACATTTGTCCAGCGATGGCCACAAAAATGACCTCCTACAAGTACTTCACAGTGAAGGATTGTAGACCCTGGCATCTGAGGCTCTGAAAGGAGAAAAGGCAGAGGAAACAGCTGATCTCCAGCCCTCACTGCAATTCCAGTTGAAGGCAATAAACATGCAACAGACTGTGATCTATGCCTTCCACATACTAAGCACCAGAGTTACCAGAATATCAGAGGTGGGCAAAGAATGAAGGTCTGGAGAAAGTTCTAGAAGGCCAGAATGAACAGCACCATAGAGACTGCACATGGCTATTCCCACTTTACCACATGGAAGGCCTCTGGCACTGGCCAGACTTCCATAAGTTCTGTGCATGGAGACAACCAGCTGTAAAAGAACTCCTTGGACTAATGAGACAGAGGACACATGAACATATGGTCACAACTCTACAGGGACCACAAGATAGCCTAGAGAAGATGTCGAGAAAGAAGATAAAGAAAATGATGCAGACAGGGCCCAGGGCCAGTGCCCTCTTCAGTGGAGGTACCGTCACAACTTCAGTTACCTGTACAGATGTCTGCAGAACTGTGTACCATGTTCTAGAGATGAAAGCAGCCAAGTCACTAGCTAAGAATAAGCCTGCTGCCAGTGCTGAGGATGGCAAAACCAGGGCCTGGCTTACCAAGACTGTCAGCACTGGATCACATTCCAGCAAAAAAAAAGTAAACACAAGACTAGAACTGAACAGTTCAAGTGACTCTTGTCTGCCCAGTGACCTGATCACTGGAACTACGTGCACTGTCTATGCAACATGGGTGTATTATTATTTTTACCTAAATAAATCTGTTTGGTAATGACAAGCATTAAAAACAAAAAAAAACAACAACCTAGGATTACTTCAATAACTTTTAGGTATTTTAAAATTGTTTTTTATCTGCTCGAGTTGGGAATTTTTTTTTTATCTTATTTATTTTTAGAGAGACGGGAAGGGAGGAGGGAGGGAGAGAGGGAAAGAAACATCTATGTGCCGTTGCCTCTCGTGCACCCCCAACTGAGGACCTGGCCCGCAACCCAGGCATGTACCCTGATGGGTAATCAAACCACTGACCCTTTGCTTCACAGTCCAGCAATCAATCCACTGAGGCACACCAGCCAGGATTCAAGTTAGGATTTTTTAAAAATTCATCTTTAATTTATAATAAAACTTGACAGCTAATTTTTTCAAAAGTTAATAACTAAGCCCAAGTTAATAAAGCTCTTAATTTAAAAATACTAGTTTTCTAAATGAGGTTTCATGAAACTATATTCTAAGAGAAATGTTATAAAGGTTCAGGGAGAACAAGGATTCATGGCTGGGGGAAGAGAGATGTTATATCCCACACAACCCTGCAGGAAATTCATAATGCTCAATTGTATGTTTTAAAAATTGCTGAGTGGTTCTCCAGTAAGTAACTTGCTGCAATTTAAGCTAATCCAGCACTCCCCATATTTGAGCAAGGCACACGTTTTTTTTCTCCATATAAAAGAACCCCATTCCCACCTCCCTTACCTGGAGTGACTAAGGTTGCACATTTTTCCAGGATCTCGTCTTTGAAGAGATGCAGATTGGGAATTAATGCTTTATAAGAAAGCATTTATAGTTTCAAGGAGAATCTGGTAAAGTGACAGGATCAGAAGCTACACACTGAGATTAAGAAAGGTACATAACCACTCTTGCAGAGCATGGTTAGGAAAGCAAGGAAGCAGATTGGATTGTAACCAAATTACCAGTGTGGTGTGAAAGTGCTTGGAAATTTAGGTTACCTGCTTCTGTTTGAAGGTACTAACAATAGAGCCCGTAGACCCAAAAAGAAAACTCTTAAGGGCTGAGAAGTGATGTGATAATTATGAGCTAAGGTTCTCAAAGGAGGTGGGCCAAGATGGAATCCAGAGTCCAGGTCAAGAGGGTGCCTTGTCAAAAAAGCAGGAAGGATACCTTCTCTGTAAAAAGTATGAAAACAGAATATGTGTCAAGACAGCTAGTGTTTTGAGGAAGCATGAGGGAGTGCAGATGACATCCCATTGCTCTGCCAGTAGCAGGCACATCTGCATTTCCGACAGGAACCCCTTTCATCAGACTGGTGTCTGAGTCAGTGACTGTCACCTCTGGGGCCCATGACTTACCTCCAGAGCCACCCACTGGAATGCCTGGCTCCACGATCCATGGCTCTGTCCCTTGCTCTAACTGGGAAATCACATCAGGTTTGGAAACTTGAAGTCCTGCTCATAGGGAAGGAAAAAAGAAAAAAGGTACCTGTCTGCAGGAAGGGAAAAGTGCCCCATCAAAGTCAGTTTTGCCACTTTGTCTTTAGAGGAAAGGAGAAGTAGGACCAATGGGAATGAACAGCATATCAAGCTCCGATGTTACAAGTTCACTGACAGAGTATAACTTGGGAACTGATCTAGGTTCAGAAAAATTACGCCGTCCTATTCGCTAGGAGAGAGAAATCTTTTCAGAGCCTTTCAGCATTTAGGAATCCTTGGCTCCTTAACCTAAAGGCAAAATTTGCTAAGCATGAGAGAGACCTCTTCCTCCTTTATACCCCCAGATATTAACCCAGAGAAGTTATCCTTACCTATAGAGACCAGGTGTGTATAATTTTCCAATGTCACATCCCTGAATAAATCTCTCTGTACAGGATCCAGCTGTTTCCATTCTTCCTGGGTAAAGTCCACCACCACATCCTTGAAGGTCACTGACTCCTGAAATACCAAACATTTCTGCTCAGCCATAAAAGCACTTACCTAGGAAAGGGGAGAAATTGGCAATACTGACAGAATGAGGCAAGCCATAGGCTATTTGAAAAAAAGACTTTGGTATTTCCTTTTTTGTAACATGAATATAAAAACAGAATCTGCCTGCTAGGATTATTGTAAGAAGTAAGTAAGAAATGTTCCATATGAAGTGTCTTATTTAGGGTCTAGCAATAACAATGCTCAGGTGCTCAGTCAGTGTTGGCCATTGTTGTTGTTCATCATTATCAACTCTGTGCTCCAAGGTCTATCAAGCGTTAATAGTAAATCTAGTAATGCCAATAGGTATTAATATTACCTATAATATTACCTATATTATTATTTACCTATAGGTAAAATACACTAGATAGCATTAACAGATTAGGCATCAAAGAAGAAAAGATTAACACATTCAAAGACATGGAAATAGGAAGTATTGGGTTGGCCAAGAAGTTCATTTAGTTTTTTCTGTAAGATGGCTCTGGTAGTGCTTAGTTGTCTTTAACTTCATTCAAAACAATTTTGTTAGATTATATTGTGACAGCTCTTATATCAGTATGCATTAAAAAAAATCAGGCCCTTGCTGGTGTGGCTCAGTTGATTGAGTGCTACCTGCAAACCAAAGGGTTGCCAGTTCAATTCCTAGTCAGGGCACAGGCCTGGGTTGTGGGCCAGGTCCCCAGTAGGGGGCACGTGAGGTTTCTCTCCCTCTCTTCCTCCCTTCTCCTCTCTAAAAATAAATAAAATCTTTTTTAAAAAACCCATTAAAATTGGTGAATTTTTGTGCAGCCATTTTAATACTGAAGATGGAAAATATATAACATTTTCAGTGTATTATGCTTTTATTATTTCAAGAAAGGTAAAAATGCAGCTGGAATGCAAAAAAAGATTAGTGTATGGAGAAGGTGCTGTGACTGATCATGTGTTGAGTGGTTTCCAAAGCTTCATTTTTAAAAAAAAATTTTTTTTTAATTTATTTCAGAGAGAGAGAAACATTGATTTGTTGTTCCACTTAATCATGTATTCATTGGTTGATTCTTACATGTGCCCTGACTGAGAATCAAACACACAACCTTGGTGTATCAGAATGATGCTTTAGTCAACTCAGCTACCCAGCCAGGGCATGAAGTTTCTTGGTTCTATTGACAGTTTGGCCAAATAATTCTTTGCTGTGGGGCAGTCTTATGCATTGGAAGATGTTTAGCAGCACCCCTGGCCTCTATCCACTAGAAACCAATAGTACGAGATAGCCGACATAAAATATCCAAAGCAGTAAAGTTATTGGTGAAAATGAAAAATGTGCCTTTGATTTTATGGAAAAAAACTAAATGGAATTTTTGGCCAACCCCATATCAAAAATGAAACAGAAAGGAAAAAAAATATTTTTTAAGAGAGAGCATCAGGGAGCTACAGGATTTCAAGTGGCTCAATATATGTATAGTTGGCATCCCTGGGCTAAAAAGAAAAAGAGGGAGAAGCAGAAAAAAATATTTGAAGAAGTAATAGCTCATTGTTTTTGAAAGTTGATGAAAACTGTAAACCCACAGATCCAAGAAATTCAACCTGCAAGCACAAGAAACATGAAGAAAACTATACCAAGGTACATCTTAATAAAATACGCTAGCTCATATCTGGTACTAGAGAAAAATCTTATAAACATCCAAAGATAAAAGGGCATAAATATAAAAGAAGAAATATAAAAATGACATTTTTTTTTTTGTTTTTGGAAAACAGGGAAGCAAGAAGACAGTGGAGCAACATCACTGAATACTAAAAAGAACAACTGTAAAACTAGAATTGAAAACAAAAGCAAAATAAAGACTTTCTCAGGCATAAAAACTTGAAAGAATTCATCACCAGCAGAATGCACTATAAAAAAACTTAAGGAAGTCCTTCATGCAGAAAAAAATGATACCAAATGAAAATAAGGATCTACACTAGGTTTCTTGGCCTTGGCACTATTGATGTTTCAGAGCAGATAATTCTTTCAAACAATTTTGTGGGGCTGTCCTGTGTATTGTAGGCAGTATTGCTGGTATCATACCCACTCACTGTATGCTAGTGTCACTCATCACCATGTCATGACAATCAAAAATGTCCCCTGGGGCCTAAATCACCCCTGGTTGTGAATCACTGATCTATATAAAGGATAAAGAACAACAGAAATAGTAACTAAATGGATAAGTGAATACAATTTCTTCCTTATCATTTAGATCCCTTTAAAAGATAACTGATGAAACAAAAATAAGTCCTACGAGTTTATGACAAGTTTGTAAGTAAAATATATGGCAACAGTAGCATTAAAAACTGGAGGGAGAAATGGACACATACTATTGTGAGGTTCTTGTATTATTCATGAAGTAGTATACCACCAGAAGGTAAATGGCAATTAATATGTATATCTAAAGCAACAATTAAAATAACAAAAGAGTTATGGCTAATAATCCAGTGAAGGAAATCAAACAATCACAAAAAATATTCAATCTAAAAGAAGGTAAGAATAGAGGCAAAGGAAATAAAGGCAATACTAATAGAAAATAGCAAGACTGTAGACAAAATACACATGTCAATAACCACATTGAATGTGAATGTATCATATTAACTGTAGAATCACATTAAATGAAAATGCTCTAATCACTCCAATTAAAAGGCAGAGACTGCCAGATTGGACTAATAAAAAGTAAAACCTAACTACATGTTTGTTGCTTATAGGTACTCACTTTAAATATAAAGACAGCAGTATGTTAAAAGCAAAAGGATGGAAAAAGATAAATCATGCTGACACTAATCAAATATGAAAGTAAAATTCAAGGCAAACATTATTACCAGGTATAAAAAGGTCATTTCTCAATGATAAGGGGTCAATTGATTAAGAGGACATATCCTTAATATTTTCACACCTAATAACAGATCTTCAAAATATATAAAGCAAAAAATGACAGAATTACAAGAAGAAAAAAAAACAGGCAAAGCCACATAATAATGGTCAAAAATGTCAATATCCCTATCACAATAGTTGATAAAACCAGTACACAGAAAATCAATAAATATATAAAGCATTTGAATGACACTATCAACCAACTTGACCAAACTGACATCTGTGGTATACAAAATAATGGCCCAAAGACGCCCATATTCTAATCCTTGAAACCTATGAAACTGGGCCTAATCTGGTGGGAGACTTTACAGATGTGATCAGTTAAGGACTTTGATACGGGGGAATTATCCTCGAATATATGTGTGTGCCCAATATCATCACAGAGTCCCTAGAAGAAGGAGGCAAGAAGGTGAGAACAGAGTCAGAGCGAGAACGGTGAAGAGAGAAAACAAACCAGAGTCAGAGAAAAGGAGAACTGAAGATGCCCCACTGCTGACTTTGATGGTAGAGAAGGGGACAGAAATGAAAGATTATCGATGCCCTCTAGAAGCTGGAGAAGAGAACAGAGTCTGTCCTAAAACCTTCAGAGGAATGCAGCCTGCCAACCCACTGGGACCTCTAAAATCGTAAGATAATCAACGTGTTGTTTTAAGGCGTTAAGCTTGTGGTAATTACAAGTTAATTACAGCAGCAATAGAAATATACGATCATACAATATTCCACTCAACAACGAAGATACGTTCTTTTCAAGTGCTCAGTGATCATTTACCAAGATAGACCATATTCTGGGCAAAAGAATGTCTCAATAAATTCAAATGATGAAAGTCACAAAAAGTATATTCTCTGACTGTGAATATGTCCGTTATCTTGATTGTGATAGTTTCATCAGTACATATGTCAAAACTTAATATGTTATACACTTTAAATTTATTGTCACAGTATCCCTCAATAAAAAATAAACTGATACCAAAAGTACTTGAGCTGATAGTTGGAAGAACTGGACCAGATAATTAAGTTGTGGGACAGGACATGAGAAGGGGGAAACAGCTTAAAAAGAAGCATCCTGAGATGACCAATAAAAGCATTTGAAAGGCTGCTCAATGTCACTAATTATCAGAGAAATACACGTTGAAACCACAATGAGATATCACCTCACACCTGTCAAAATAGCTATCATCAATAACTCAACAAACAACAGGTGTTGGCAAGGATGTGGAGAAAAGGGAACTTCATGCACTGTTGGTGGGAATGCAGGCTGGTGCAACCACTGTGGAAAGCATTATGAAGTTACCTCAAAAAATTAAAAATGGGTCTGCCTTTTGACCCAGCGATCCCACTTCTGGGAATATATCCAAAGAAACCAAAAACACTAATTCGAAAAAACATATTGCAGCGTTCTTTACAACCACAAAGATACCAAAGCAGCCTGGGTGTCCACTAGGTGATGAGTGGATAAAACTATGGGACATTTACACAATGGAATACTACTCAGCTGTAAAAATAAAAAGAATATTTTACTCCTCATGACAGCATGGATGGACCTGGAGAGTATTATGCTAAGTGAAATAAGCCAGTCAGAAAAAGACAAATACCATATGATTTCACTCATATGTGGAATCTAATGAGCAAACTGAACTAACAAGCAAAATAGAGACAGACTCACAGATGGAGAGCAGGATAGCAGCTATGTGGGGGTGGGGGAGGTTACAGGGTGGAGGGACTGAGCCAAAAGGAAAAAGGACTCATGGACCTGAACAACAGTGTGGTGATTGCAGGGGGGAAGGGGTATAAAGGGGTTAAATGGTAATGGAAAAAATTCAATTAAAAAAAAAAAAGTATCCTGATCACAGGAGGTCTTGGACTGATTATACCATATGGAACAACTGTTAACCTTTTTTTTGTCTAAAGGTCACATTTAGCTATTGGTTTGTCCTAAAATATTAAGTAACATATCACTTTCCTTCTCAAAACCAATTAATGGTTCACAAATGGTCTATGGCATAAAGCTTTCAAGTTTTCATCTAGGTATTCAAGACCTTTCGCATTCTGACCTTATTCAATCATTTGTTTACCGTTCGTCAAAATAAACCATCTTCCCAAATTTTTCTGAATCCCCTATAACACCTGCTAATTCTTATCTGTTAACCTTTGCTCATAATCTTTTTCCATAGCCAGAATCCTCCTCAACCCTCCCATCCTACTTATCCAAATATTCATCCCTTGAGAGGTAGTGAAAAATCCCACACCCTCCACAAAATTCTTCCTAACCCCTCCAGAATACATTTTTTTTCCATTCTCTATTTTCCATGGCACTCATCCCACCCTTTTTAATATTTACCTGCCACACGGGAGCATAGCAAGACACTAAGCAAGCGATAAGTGGTGAATGCATTAGTTAAGCTGGAGAGGCAGAACTAAGAAGAATGTCTGACAGGAGCTCAGAATGAAATGCCAACATTGGATAACCATACCCCACAGCTAAAGAATATACAATCCCACTCTAAGGGCTAAAATGGCATTTCAGGAAATCCCAACTTACCTGGAAATTGGCTGATGGGAGTAGAGCATGTTCCCCTTGGAGAAGGGCAGAGACTGGAGAGGACCGATCTAGGGAGGAAGATGAAACCACAGTGAATCCTGTCCAACAAAGCTGCTCCCAGCAATCAGTAAGATCCACTTATTTTTTCTATTTGAAAACAACAGGCACTATGCTATTTCCTTTAATTGACAGACTCCATAACAGAATCAAAGTAAATGCTGATTAGGGCCCTGAGAGTCTCAATGTAGGTTCAGAAGGTAAATCATTGCTTTAATATTCATAATTTTTGTCTCTAGATACTTACAGTCATATGGATCATACAACTCAATCTATGTTTCTATTGAGGTAAAATATTTCTCCTGCCGCCTCTGTTACATAGAAAATATGAATAGACTACTTTCCAAAAGTCTTCATGGGCCTTTTGAAACTTTGCTATTAATGCAAATTAAATATCACAGTGACATATACTACTAATACTCCCTACAAGGATATCTAAAATTAAATACGCATGGTCAATACAACTGCTGGCAAGAATACAGAGAAATACAATGGATTATAATTGAAGAATCATACATCAATAAATCCGATAACCTAGAAGAAATGAATAAATTTTTAGAAATTTACAACCTACTGAGAATGAATCATGAAGAAATGGAAAATCTTAACAGACCAATAAGGAGTAAGGAGATTGACTCAGTAATCAAAACCCTCCAACAAAGGCAAACCCTGGACCAAATGGTTTCACTGGTGAACTCTACAAAACATTGCAAGAATTAACACCAATCCTCCTCAAGCTCTTTCAAAAATAGGAGGGAACATTCCCATACTCATTTTACAAAGTCAGCGTTACCACGATACCAAGCCAAATAAGAACACTACAAGAAAAGAAAACTGACCAATATCCCTGATGAACACAGATGCAAAAAATCCTCAAAAAAATATTAGCAAGCTGAATTCAACAGCATATTAAATGGATCATACATCATGATCAAGTAGGATTTATTCCTGGGATGGAAGGATGGTTCAACATGCCCAAATTAATAAATGTGAGGTGCCGCATTAACAAAATGAAAGATAAAGTTCACGTGACCATCTCGATAGATGTAGAAAAAGCATTTGATAAAGTTCAGCATCTTTCATTATAAAATTCTTAACAAATTGGTGTAGTAGGAATGTACTTCAGCATCATAAACCATATGTGACAAGCCCACAGCTAACGTACTCAATGATGAAAGGCTGTGAAAGCATTTCTTCTAAGATGAGAAACGAGAGAGTTACCACTCTCACCACCTATTCACCATAGTACTGGAATTCCCAGCCAGAGCAGGTAAGCAAGAAAAATAAATAAAAAGCTTCCAAATTAGAAGAGAAGAAAAGTTGTCTTTTTGTTTGCAGGTAACTATATAGAAACTTCTAAGAACTCCACCCAAAAATAAACTTAGAACTAATAACAAATTCAGTAAAGTTGCAGAATCCAGCATAGAGATATCAGTGGTATTTCTATATACTAAGAAGGAAATATCTGCAAAATAAATAAAACAATCCCACTTAGAATAGCATCCAAAACAATAAAATATTTAGGGAAAAATGTAACCAAGGAGGTGAAAGATCTGTACACTCAACTCTATACAACAATGATGAAAGCAATTGAAGTTACAGATAAATTTAAAGATATCCTGTACTCATGGATCAGAACAATGTATATTAACATGTCCATACTACTCAAAGCCAGCTATAGATTCAGTATAATCCCTATCAAGATTCCAATGGCATCTTTCACAAAAATAGAAAAAAAAAAATCTAAAGTTCATATAGAATCATACAAAACCTCGAAATATTAAAGCAGTCCTGAAGACATCACACTTTCTGATTTCAAAGTACATTACAGAGCTATCCTAATCAAAACAATATGGTACTATTATAAAAATAGACACAGAATCAAGAGCCCAGAAATAAACCATCTTAAATATGGTCCGCCAATATTTGACAAGAGAGCCAAGAATAACCAATGGGTAAGGATAGTGTCTCTGATCAATTGTTTTGGGAAGATTGGATAATAACATGTGGATGAATGAAATTAAACCCCTACTTTTATACCAGCCATGAAAATTGACTTGAAATGAATTAAAGACTTAAACAAGACCTAAAACTGTTTAAACTCCTAGAAGAAAGCCTAGGGAAAAAGTTCCTTGATACTGATCTTTGCAATGATTTGTTTCAATATGAGACAAAAAATCACAAGCAATAAAAGCAAAAACGAACAAACATTTCTACATGAAACTGAAAACTTCAGCACAGCAAAAGGAACCAAACGATCAACAAAATAAAAAGGCAAAGTCTGGGAGGAAATATTTGCAAGTCATGTATCTGATAAGGCGTTAATATCCAAAGTATATAAGGAACTCAACATATACAACTCAACAAATAACGTACTTTAAAAATATACAGGGTATCTGAATAGTCATTTTTCCAAAGATGACATACAGTGGCCAACAGGTACGTGAAAAGGTACTCCACATCACTAATCCTCAGGAAAATGCAAATTAAAACCACAGTGAGATGCCAACTCAGACCCGTAGAATGAATATCATCAAAGATAAAATATAACTGTTTAGTCAGGATATGGAGAAAAGGAAACCAATAGAGGGTCCAGCACAAATAATGCCCCTTTTTTTATGCGCTGGTAATCTATACCAAATATTTTATTGCAAAATCAATCATAAGCATGTAACTGTAACATAACAGTATTACACTCAAGCACACTATGTGACATTTTAGGTGAAATGTTCAAGTTGCTTCCCATCTTGTGTGAGACATTCACATACCCTACTAACCACACTCAATGGCATTACTTCTGCTGGACCCTGTATATTGTTGGTGTGAATGTAAATTGGTATAGCAACTACGGAAATATAGATACACCATATTTTCTTAATCTATTCATCCACTAGTGGACACTCGGGTTGCTTCCACGTCTTGGTTATTGTAAATAATGCTGTAATGAACTGGGCGGAGGTGGGGGGTTTCTGATATAGTACATACACCCACAAAATAGAATATTTCAGCCATAAAATAAAAGGAAATCCAGTCATTTGTGACATTTATGGACCTTGAAGACATTATGTGAAGCAAAATAAGAAATACAAATACTCCAAGCTCTCACATGTGGAATCTAAAAAAGCTGAACACATGGAAACAGAGTAGAATGGTGGTTTACAGGGGCCAGGATAGGGGTGTGGGGAGGGGAGATGTTGGTCAAAGTGTACAAACTTCCAGTCACAAATTAGTTCTGGGGATCTAATGTACAGCATGGTGACTTTAGTTAACAATACTACAGTATATACTTAAAAGTTACTAAGAGTTAAATGTTCTCACCACGGAAACACACAAAAGGCAAATATATGTGAGGTGATAGATGCGTTAACCATATTGTATTCATTTTGAATATACAGGTGTATCAAATCATCCCACTAGACTACTTAATATTACAGGTCAATTATATCTCAGTAACGCTGGAAAAAAAATTGTCTCAGCAATGTTTTTACAGCTTTCGATGTACAGACATTGTACAAATATAAGGTATAACTCGACCTACATAAATAATATAAATAATATTAAAACTTCTAATTATGTTAAAGAAGTGCAAGAAAAAAGACTGTATAATAACAGGTTAAACCAAACCTGACTGCATAGCCATAATTAATGAATGTAAAGACAGTAACAATGCAGGGGAAAGTCTAAAGGGACATGTCACAGAGCTCCTTCCTTACCCTGATCTGTACAATGACATGTACGAAGAAATACAAGGAATACTCATTAAACATGCTAGTTACATAAAGTTAGAAAAGACAGTTAAAACAGTGAGTAACCACATTAAGTATTCTGACAAGCTGGAGTTCATGGACAAAATATTGAACAATCATAAATGTGAAGTCCCGCCATTAAGGATAAAAAACAATTCTATTACACAAAGATGACAAGAACCTAGTTCACTGCAATTTATGTGAAAAAGAAAAAGACCTAGGGTGTACAGCCTAGCATCGCTATTTTTTTTTTAAAGCAATGCAATCTGATAGTAAACAGCTGAAGTAAAATCCAAACTGAAAGAGGTAGTACATCATATTTTTAAAGGTATTTTTCAAAGCACATCCACTGAACTATGTTTAGTTTTTAAGAAGCATGCTGTCATGCAGTAGAGTTTTCAGAGAAGAAGTGTCCCTGTATGGCATGAACACTCATCAAAGGAACCGAGGCTATTTTGCTTAGAAAAGAATTTGTGAATAGAAGCTGTAACAGCTGATTTGACATATCTGAAGGACAGCAGTGTGAGAGCAAGTACAACTTTTTTCTTTTAGGGACTAAGAACTAAGATCAATGCAGAAGTTAAAGAACAGGCACTTCTGCTTAATATAAGGAACTAAAAAAAAAGTCACAAGAGAAAAGTCCGCTTACAAAATGGAGAGTTTAAATGCCACATTTGTTCAGGCAGAGGCGTAGCAGACGGCCATCTCCCAGCGGTATTTAAAAAAAAAATGATCCTGGCATTTAAGGGATGACGACCAAGATAATTTTTTTCTGACTGCAAGGTTATGGTTCTGATATTAAAAAATAAGTCACGTGAGGATCACAGACATTCTGAACCATTGCTCCTTTTCATTCCAGAGAGAAACTCTTCCTTCAAGTCTCTCCTTGTAATGTAAATCGCCCTCTTTTCTTGATTCTTAAATATAAGGTTTCCTCCTTCCACCTCTTCCAGCTGTCAAGTATTTGATCTTCAAGTTACCACTGACTGTTCTTTTGCCTCCATCATTGCGCTCTCCCCCCAGTCGTCCCTACTACCTTCCATCTCAGGAGCTCATCCCGTTCCTCTGGAACCTGGTCACCGGGGTTTCCCAAGCAGCGTCCCTCCAGGTGGGTCCTCCGTCTGGGGCTCAGGTGTCCAGCGAGGACTCTGAACCTTAACACAGGCTGAGAGTGGCTGACCTAAAAGACACAGGATGGGTCAACAGCATGCATCGCGATCAAATCAGAGAGTTTTGCGTAGTGGTCAAGGGGTCGTTGGGGAAGAGAAGTGCCCGGAGAGAGCACTAACAGGCCAGTGGCACTCCCGCTGAACAAAACCAGTGGAGCTCGAGCCGGAGGTTCGGCCCCGAATTAAGAAAATCCTTGATGCCGCCCCTAGAATCGGGCCGGGGCGCCTACAGGACTGCCCGTTACCTCCCCACACGCTGGCGGGCTGGGATTTGGGAACGCACACCTGTTGCGGGGGCGGAAAGCTGGAAGGTGGCCGAGCGGGGCGGAGCCCAGCTCCCGTCCTTCCTCCCCGAGCGGAACAAAAGAACAAAGCCCTCCACGGGATCAGGGCGGAACCGCCCGCGCAGAGAGCGGCGAGGGGCGCCCCCTTTCAGGACTCCCCTTCGCCCTCCCGCAGAGGCCGTTCCCAGCAGGGCCAGGAGGATGACGTCACGCGACCGGAGGGCTGGCGGTTGCCATGGTGATACCTGGGCTTCCCTCCCCAGCGATCTAGGAGCTCCGATCGCGCGTCCGGAAGCGCCTGGACGATCACCAAACCTAGGGAAAGGGGCCAGAGCGGCTGAACTTCCCCAGAACCACACTGTTTCCCCGCCTACAGCGGCTTCAACGGCCACTTCCGGTCGCCGGCAGAGTGCCCCGCCCCCACTCGCGGGTTCGTTAAAGTGCGGGTGGGCACGCAGAACTACGATTCCCAGAATGCCTCACGCGGTGAACTTCACTTCCCGGAGGTCTCGGCAACCTCGTAACACCGTCGCGCGGACCTGGAGTGTGTACCTGCCCGTGGTTCGGGCCTGAACCGCTCAGAGGGAAGTGTGCGCTGGAGAACTGACTCTGGAGCTTGTTTGACTGAACAGGTCGTTAGAAGTACACATTTTCACATGTGTAATTTTTAAAACCAAACATTACCCCATGCATTACTGACATTTATGACCTGTCCTACACTCTGTTCAGTGTCCTATTCCTTTGTTTAAAAATACTTGCCGTGACCCACTATACGATTTTATGACTCCCAAATGGCTCGAAACCCACATTTTAAGAAATGCTGAAGGAATCGGGAAGTGGCGTCACCGTGTTTTGCCGGACTGTAGAGCAGTGTGTGCCTGCATCCGCCAGCACACAGCTGCGACTGAGCCCAACGCCAGCCTCCCACTGTGTCCTTGGCAGAAAAGAATCCAACGGAAGTCAGAACGGTTTTCTGTTTTTAAATATGTGGCCCACGCATTTTACTCTGCTTGTCTGTGTCCCCAGCATTTGGACAGGGGCTAAGATCAAGTCACGCAGCCTGGAAGTTGGAAATCCTAATACTGAGTATATGAAAACAAAGTTGCAGTCAAAGGAAAGGGAACGGTATGTAGAAATCTCTTAAGAGCAGATTTCTGGGAACATGTGTAGCAGCTAGAAAACGTAAAAGAAACAATATGGTGTTCTCAGTGGATTGCAAGAAAACATCGCCTAAATGAAACATGAAAGAAAGCTGTGAGAGAACACGTTGAAATAAAAAGATACTAAGTGAAAAGGAATAAAAACATAACAACAGTTAAAATTCAGCAACATAAAGTTATACTAGAGAAGAATTTGATGCTGTGGCAAAGTGAATCAGTGATGTATAGAATATTCTTTTTAAGCTCCTTCATGATTCCAAAAAAAAAGAAGATGGATGAAGAGATATAAAGAATAGGAAAGAAAGCCAATACGTAGATAATTGGCCATCAGGGAGGTGAGACCACATGAAATCAGCTATCATTTAACACTCCGTGCGTGCCAAGCAGTGTCTTAGTACATTATATCTATTTATGTAAGCCTTAAAACCTAATAAAGTTATTTCTGTATTATTGTTCCTACTTTACAACACAAGAAAATGGGGCACAGATAAGTTGAATAATCTGCCCAATGTCTCATAGCCAGAAAACGGGGAAGCGAGGACTTCAATTTAGTGATTTGGTCCCAAACTTGCACTTTTAATCTCTAACACTAGACTCCCTAGTAAAGAGATGAGTAATTTTTTGAGTTTCAGAAATAAGACACCTCTCATTCATTGCTGGTGGGCGTGCAAAGTGGTGTAGCCACTATTTAAGACAGTTTGGCAGTTTCTTCCAAAACTAAACAAGAAGATAGAAATTCACAGGACGAGTGTAGGTTAATAAGATAGAACCCTGCCTTAGTTATTTACACAGTGAGTAGGATTTTTGTAATAACTTGTTATTTTTTAACTTAAAATACATAATGAATATATTAGTATGTCATCAATAAATATCCATGTATAACATACCTTTCAGTGACAGCAAAAGTATTACATCTTATGGATGGGTTTTATTAAAAGAAAAATACTGAAGTTTAATATATACAGAAAAAACATATGAAGGTGAACAACCCAATATATTTACACAAAGCAAGCACACCCCTGTACTCAGCACCCAATGTGCAAACCAAAATCATTATCAGATTCCCAGAAACTCCTCCCAAGAGTAGTGGGATCTCCCAGTCTCTACCTTCCAAGGGTAATCATTATTCTGATTTCTAACACCATAGATTAGTTTCACCTGTTTCCAAATTTTCAAAAAAAAAAAAAAAAAAAGGCATGCTCTATAGTATGTATTCTTTTGTGTCTGACTTTATCAGTTTGTGAGACTGCATCCATGTGGTTGTGTGGACTTAGAGTCCCTTCACCTTGTGGTGTGGCGTTCCATTGTATGGGAAAAAAACTTTTTTTCCTAGTATAGATGAACATTTGGTTTGTTTCTAGTTTAGGGCTAAAATAATAACTGAACTAATTTTTCTTTTCTATAACTCATGCCTGACTTTCTTCTTTTACTGAAATCCATTCTGCCAATTTTTTTTTGGGGGGGGGGGAAGGGTGCAGTAAAACAAAGTCGCAGCTGTGTCCAGTCCCTGTTCATTGTTACCCTAAAACAAACAAGCAGGTGACTAATAATTTTAGTTCCAGTGCATTACTAATTGCTTTCTATTTTTCTGGTTTTATTAAATACAAAAGATTTTGTATTTCTTCAATATCTAGCTTCAATTAAAGCTAGCGTTCCAAATGACTTGGGGAGGGGTGGGGGGCAATCATATATGTTTGGCTAAATGTTTGCACCAAAAAAAGAGACCGATATGCATAAATAATGAAGAAAGGTTATTTCATCTGAAAGTCTGTTCTCATCTTACAAAACTTATTACGCCTCGTTTTGTGTTCTTTGTTGTCTATACTCTAAAATACCCTGTTTAGGGCCGTGTAGTCGTGGCCGAGTGGTTAAGGCGATGGACTAGAAATCCATTGGGGTCTCCCCGCGCAGGTTCGAATCCTGCCGACTACGGGGTGAAGGGGTTGTTTTTTCCCTCCTCCCAAAGAGAGGGGATGGAAACAGAGCACAGTGTCCTTGGCTAAATTTGCCAGGGCAGAGCTGCACAGCAATGGCGATGGAACTTGACATCACCTTCCATTCTCTGAAAGGTGCGTGATCGCTGCTTTCTCCGCGTAGCTTCCGAGCAGGTGTGGGAACCCCCCGCGCGACTCCCTCCCCGACAGAAATGGCCCTCTTCCTTGTTTTGCGGTCTTGGGTCAGTGAAGGATTCCATGGAATCCGTGGTTCAAGTAGGGTTTCTCTTCGTTAGTAAAGTGGTGAGTATTTGGCCGCCGTTCGGGGCAGTGCGGGAGACCGGTCTTCAGATTCATCTCCAGGGAAGGACATGTTTTGTAGTCAGTCACCGTTTTACACTTATCGGCAATCGTGTTACTGCTTAGGGTTCAAGTACTGTATGCCACCTTTCTTTAACGTGAAAGCTGCAGAACTCATGGGTGCCTCAGATTCTGCGGCGCAGCTGCCGCTCCCCTGTCTCCTGGGCGACCGGCCACTGCGGGGCTCTGGGAACTGCAGGGGACCCACACCTCCCCTGCTCTCCTCGCTCCCAGTCCGGCTGCGCTGACCAAAACATTTCAGTGCCATTCTAACATATCAAAGCCACAGCTACTTTAAGGCCCAGAGGAGAACCTGGGTTTAAATCACAAGGGACTTGGAAGACTCCTTGGGAGCTAACAAGAATATGGTTGCCTGGTTCTGCCTCTCATTTGCATAGTAATAGGGCCATATGCCAAGAAGAAGATCGAAAAGGCCCTTTAAATACTTCAAGCCCTTCATCCTCTTAGACATCACACCCTGGAATGATGGTGCCGACCTGGCGCAGCGAGGGGCGGGGGGGAGGGGAGGGCGGGGGCGGCGCTGTGTGTGCTCCATCCAGCTGCATTGGCTGATTGACTCCAAGCTGGTGCCCCTAGACTCGAGCCTCCACAAGACCAGTTGTGTTGAGGTCAATGGCAAAATGGTCACACACTTGCGGAAAGAAGACACCCCCAAGTTCCAGAAGCATTCGAGGGATGTCAACATTGCTCCTTTCAACAAAATCCGAGGCTCCAAGCAATGTGTTTGTGGATGTATGTTAGATTTTATGAATTTTTTCTGAAAGGAGAAAAAAATTGCTATTATAAAGCCATGGCAGTCAAGACAATGTGGCACGTCCTAGGATGGATAGCTAAACATTGGAATGGAAGAACACATCCTAAATAGACCCGCTCATACAGTCATTTGATTTAAAACAAAGGTGACCATGCAGTGCTTTAGGGAAAGACTATTTTTTCCCCAATAAATTGAAACAATAAATTGGTGGCTCATTTGCATATAGCTATGGAAATAAATGAATTACAACATACACAAAACTCAATCACATGAAATGTATATTTAAACATGAAAGATAAAGCAATAATGCTGCTGAAAGATAGCTTAGGATAATTTCTTAATGACTTTGGAGTATGCAAGAATTTCTAAAACAGAGCAGAAAAAGCAGTCACCACAAAAGAAAATATTTATGCATAAATTAGACTTCACCAACATTGGAAAATTTTGTTCATTACTACCTACCAGTAAGCAAGTACAAGGCATATCTTGGAGAAGACATTTATATTTACATTACAGCCTAACAAAAGACCGTGTTCATAGTCAAAGTTTTGTTTTGAGTGAATGGCACAGGCAATTAATTACAGAGGATGGCAAGTTCAGATCTGCAGAACAGGTTGAAATCCAATCTAAGTGCAGGTATAGGTGAGAGGGCAGGGAGGGTCCAAGAACTGAAGGAAATGATGCTGGAAGAATTCAACCCTCAGGAAAACCTCTCCTCTTCACCTTCCCCAGAGAGGGCAGCCACAGTCCAGGGACTAGGTGAATAGGGAGAAATGATTTAAAGAACAGGTTTTCCAGCCTGAGGACATTCTCCATCTGTCCTGACACATAGACCAAATCTAACTCTACTAATAGGATTGCTTATGGGTTTAGAGGCATGATTCAGTGAGACACTATACAACTAGGTTTTTGTTTTAAATGGGGAATATAAGGTCTGCAGTATTGAGTTCTGGAAAT